TCAAGGTCAGGCTCAACCAGCAGTCTATCAAGCATAGGGAATTCATACAGCCCGGCGCTGTCCTCATACAGGGTGGGGAACTAGTTTAATATAAATTTCCTACATGTTTATTTTGTCAATTGTTGTTCTTGAATTTTGACATAAATCCATATTTTCAATGATTTATAGACATTTCTCCCAGAATATCAAGAAGGGCAGTGAATTTAGAACTTGATATTTGATATGTTAATAAGTGACTCACTGTCTTGGATTTCTTTTCCAATCCCAATTTTCTTGTTTCACATCAAAATATGACAACAGTATAGGTGTATTTGACCTTCCTAGTGTCACACATGAAATTTTATATACTGTAATGACAGACATACATATCTACATCCCACATTTGTATGTTTAAACTTTTTTCATCTGATTCAACTTTTTTTTTTGTAGAAATCATTGCTTTATTGACATACCAAGTGCAATTTCATGAAAAAAAAATGAATTTGCTTATATGTATCTATGCTTTTAATTAGCAAGTGCTCTCTCTTTCTCTCTCTCTGTATGTGTGTGTTTAGGAAAACTTACTACAAAACAAAAAAAAAACTATCATGCATCAGATATTGATCAGATGTAGAATTGCATAAAAAATCAACAGAACTGTAGATTTTTTCACCATCACAATGTTCTCTGTATTGATAAACATATCAGGTTTCCTCGCCCCCTGTAAATTGACCACAATCTGTGAATTATATAGCAAGAAACTTCCATTGAAAGAATAGAAGTTTCCGTATTTTTGTTTATGTTTGAAGGTCTTTTTTTGTGTTCTGGTAATAATACCCATCATAGGGTGCAGATTACAGTGTAAAAAAGTAACTAGGTTTGCGTGAGTAATTCAGTTGTGGGGATAAATCCTATACACATTGTGTATTCATGTGTTATGAGAGAGTTGATGCCTGAGGAATGATTACTGATTATGTTCAGGTAATAGGCAATTATTTAATGATTGATACATCATGACTGCTCAGCTCTGTGGAGGAGAATTCCTCAGATTTTTGGTATTAAATGTGAATTGCTGAATACTCATATCACTTCCTGTACTCAAACAAAATATTTTTTAATGCATATAATTTAGACCTAGTTATCGAAGAAGTTTACAATCATGTGCATTATGGTTAGTGTAAGCAAGGTTTGCATTAATTTGTGTTTCAAGGTTAAAATGAGGTTTCAAGAATGCAGGATGAGAAGTGACAACTTTTTTTTCTATGCAGAATGCTGCTAGATGACATGTGTTTAAAGTATCTTAATTTTTACAAACTAAACGAGGAAATATAACATGAGGGATTACACATTTATTGTATTTAATGCAGAAAAGAGGGAATTATTTTTAAAAAGGCTTAAAACTGATGGAGGTTTGAGAAAAAATGCCAAATTTGGATAAACTATACACTAGTAATACATGTAATGAATTTAAGATCATGGACAATGTGAAAAGTTGTTAAACCATGCAAAACTTCTGTTGATTCCAGCTTCCTCATGTTGCATATTTTGCCTTTTTTTGTGTATGTGTATAGTAGAAATGTATAGAATCTTGTTATTTAAAAAGAAAACTAAAGAAACCTTTAATTTTGATGATGTTTTCACTTTGTCTTGTATTTTAGAGTTCTGGTCGATATGGGCGATACCCATCTACGTCGGACGTTTCAGACCGATACCGACCCAGTTCTTATTTAGAAACCTCAAAGTCCACAACAGCAATAGACACATCCCTAGATTATAAAAGAGTCAGTATATTTATTGTTATCACACTACATTGTAGTATAAAACATTGACCAATTCTTTACTATTAAATATATTAAGATTGTTATTCGAAGCTATTTTCTCAAGCGGTTTTCTTTATGAAGTCATGTAGACATAGAAATATAAAATTCCAGGAGTTTGTAAAGAACACACAGAATGCAGATCTAATGTAAACATTATCTCCAGGCATGACTTGCCAAATTATAGGCTCTTAGATCCATGCAGTTTTCACATTCTTACAAGTTACCTCCCTTTGACTGCCTTTTATTAGCTAAAGTAATGGTTATGTTTAATATTGAAAGCTTTTTCACCATATTCACACCTTAGGAGATATGCTATTTAATTTAATAAATTTAGTTTCCACTTAATGTGTGTTTTAAAATACAGATTTATGGGAAATAATTATTGTTGTGTATTATTGAAAAACAATGCATCCATATTGCCATTTTCAGTTATATGAAGATGAAAAATCTCTTAATGAACGGTTAAAGCGTGAGCTAGCAGACACAAAAAGAGAGCTACTGGACGCTAAATCAGAACTGGACAGACTGGTCAAGCGGAGTGAGCTGGCACGGGTATCAGACACCAACGAAAAAAGAGTGAGTGGTCAACGGTGTTAATGTGAAGTGTCCAGTCTATAGTGTTCATATTTTTATCTTCGTCTCAATGTTAATATTACCTAGGATAGATCCATACAGATAGGAAGTTGATTTTCATGCCCTGATATTTTTTTGTGTTAACATAAGGGTCTACAAATCTAATAAAGTTTTGACTAAATGCATCTATGAAATTGATCCTGTCATATTGGTATGCTGTAAAGATAAGGAAAAAATAAAAATACCCTCTCAGGTCATATGTGTAGTGAATGACAACTATTTTCATAGTAAACACCTGTTCTGTGTTTTTCAGGAAAAGAGGGCTTTAGAAAGAAAATTATCTGAATTAGAGGAAGAATTAAAGGTAGGCTGTGCACTATAGCTGATAGAGATTTATTATACAATATAGAGTGCTCTCCCTTGTGAATTCAAACCTGACAGATATTTTTAATAATAATGATAGAAAACTAAGTCCTCTCTGCCACCTTTTATATTGGTCTACACTAAAACTCTCTCTCTAGATATATTCAGTAGCTGTTTACAGCATTGATCTTTAGGTGTACTCACTCAAGGACCTTAACACTGTGTCTGTTCCGTTTTACTCCTAGTCTCAATCTCGAGAGGAGTTATCTTTCTTTCTACATTCAGTGTCTGTATTCAATGCATACAAAACAAAACAAACAAACAAAAGATTATTGTTCAAGACTGAGATGTTTTAATTATTTTTTGACATCTGTAGTTTACCAAAAAAAAAAAATCCTGTTTTATTCATGAATAATATATTTTGACCAAAAAAAAAACAAAAAGAGAGAGATGTATACAACATTCAGGTTGAGCAGATCTGGCTGATATGTTTGGAGTTATTTACTGAAGTCTTTGTAGGTTATGGACAGCTAGTCACACAAGCTTAAACTTAACTTCCTTAAACTGCTAGTATTAACATATCTATTGTCTGTTCCAAAACTTTAGTTCAAGAAGTTGGAAAATTAGAGAGAGAGAAAAAACAACAAAAAAAAGAAAGAAAGAAAAAGAAATCTTTCAGAATCATTTTTGTCCATGATGAATATTTGTACAACTTTTTTTTCTTGTTTGTGTGCATATATCAATAAATATGATTTGATCTAAAATTTGAAAGAATCTATAAAGCCTTAATTTTTGGACACAGACTGTAGAAACTGCTTAAGCTTGATCACAATATGCACAATGGTTGCCATGGTTACTGGTGGCTTTGTACACTTTATTTCCAGCAAGTGAACAAAATTAAGGCAGAAAACACCAAACTTAAGGAGGAAAACAGGGCGCTAACCCGAGTTATTTCCAAACTCTCTAAATAGGTAATCACACTAACTCATGCATTGTGAGCCATTCTGTTTAGTTTGTGTTTTCCCTTTTTTTTAACGTCATTTTAAATGGGGATATCAGGTTTGTAGTTCCCTTGCCCATCTCCTGTCCGTGAAGGTTTACATCGCATTCTAAGGATTAAATGTGCATTGTAATTTTTTTGATAAATATTGGAAGCTTTTATACACATATCTAAAGAAGAAACTAAGCTAAAACAAAAAGAATAGGGATTACAGTGTATGTGCATGAGAATACCATTATGCACAACCTCCTCATATTTCTTGAGCTTAAATTTATTTTAGCTCAAGGTAAATTAATGTAAATGTAAATTAATTACATCTGATGATTAACTCTACAAATCTACTAATTACATAAATCAGTGAAAACTTTGGTGGAAAGGCTGTTCAGAATTAGATTTCACAGATTTTCGTCCCGCACTCGTATTTATTTATTTAGTTATTTCCTGAAGCATGAGGTTTTTCTTGACACATGTAACACATTTTTCACATTATATACATGTATAAACACACACATTTCATACAATATATACTCTGTACAAGATCTTTTTTCGGGTATAAAAAAACTGAAAAAATCAAGAGAGAACCTGATTATGTTTGAATACTGTGCATCCAAGCTAACAGCTGTAGACATGAATCATGGGTCTCTTGGACGAGAATCTAAGGCCAAGAAACCATTTTTGTGTGATAAAATATGACAAACAGGAAGTTGGAATGAAACATATTGATATCTTTTCTTTTGTGAACAAAATTGATCAATATATGTATAGTAGTCTATAATATAGATCCATCTCATACACTGTAAGTTCCTTCTTGGATGCCGCTAGATCTTAACAAGTTAAAATTTGTGGGGTTTATGGTTCAGTTTCAGTAACAAGGTGATTAAATTCATATTTTTCATTTGTATGTACTGTTTTTTTTGGGTTTTTTTCAGTTCTCTGATATGAAATAGTACATTGATTTTTTTTTTGTTTTGATGGCTTACAGTTTTATAAGTACATGTTTGTTCAGTGTACTAGATAGCTTCTGCATGTATACCATAATCATATTAATATATATATCTTACCATTTATCACAGAATTCATCATATATTTATTATACCCACAGACAAATTGTTTATAATCAGAAAAGAAAAAACATCTACTACAAAATAGAAAGGAGACAATAATGACAAAAACTAAAATAACAAGAAAACTTGCTTTAAAAGATTCATTAACACCGGCAGAGAAGTCTGAAGGAGATAAGGAAATACATGTATGAACATGGCTGTAATGTGCTGTTGTGATCATAGCAAAGTTTTACAGTGTAGATGACATAAAACTACTCCATTGTATTTTCTGAGTTTTTAAAAGAAGTTGTATTTTAATTCACCCAAGTACTATACTAATGAAAATAACAGCAAAGTTATTGTTGATCATAAACATGATAAAGAAATATTTTATCAAGATAGAATGTTTTAGGTGCTTTTGCGAGAAACAGATTTATGCTTATTTATGCTAGATGCACAATTGCTTACCGCAAAATTTCTAGCTCTAGCATGTGCTAAGTCAGCTAGTGCTTCTTGTCTGTTAAATAGCATCTTAAAATTACAGATATGAAAGTAGAAACCAAACTTTTCACTTTCATTTTGGAATGTTTTCTTCCAGAAAATGGAAGTCCTAAGGGAGGATAACAAACGTTTAAAAGAAGAAAATGGTGCATTGATCCGGGTCATAAGCAAGCTGTCCAAATGAGGACCAGTCAACAGAACCAGTCAATTATGTCTAGGCAATTCTCAGTGCAATGTATCAGACTGTTTATTTTTGTTTTTATTATGTGTATATCTGCTATTTGTCTTCCAAAGATTCAGTTCAGGTTTTTAGTTTATTGTTGATGAATGAACATGATGAAAAGCATAAGTTAAAAAGATAATCCTGTTTTCATTCTACCTAATTGAATCATTTGAAATACATTGTTTTGGTCTATGTATATTTTTAGTCTGACAGAATTCCTTTAAAAAGAAAATATTAACATACCTATATTGGTATAATGAACAGTGTTCTTTTGAAAATGGTGTAATAGAAAAGATCTGAAAAATGAATCATTCAAAATAGTTACTACAGAATGTGGAATACCTCCCAGATGTGAAAAATGTGACTAGTTTCAGTAATTCTGTGTAAATCTGCTGTTTAATGTGCTTGTATACCCTCGCCACGGCCAGTTGATCTCGAAGCTTTGAGTGAGTGAAACCATAGAAAAAAAACTCCACGTCTTTCACAGATTAGGAGCCTCTGTTATCACTGTATGAGCTTGTTGTGTCTGTAAATAACTAGAGACTCCACACTGTTGAGTGGTCCATAGATTTAATATATTTGTTTCTTGTTGAAACTTATCATGTCAGAGTTCTAAAGGAGGTGATTTTTTTTTTTTTTTTTTTTTTTTTTGAAATAGTGCTTCATGCTGCCAGAATCCTATCAAGTGAACTCTCAGATTTTTTGTTTGCTTGAGCAAATGATTAGTGAAAAGCGTTCCCAAAATGTACCAATTTTGTACAAAATAGGACATCAGTTTTACTTACCGTAAAGTCTAAAGATAGAAAACTGTAGAACACAAGAACTTCAATGTATCTCTCCATCTCAGCCTTTCATATTTCTGTTTACATAAGTTTTTTAAGGATTAGGGCATTTTCAACATGTAATTTTTTTTTTAATTTTGTTCAACTTAATACTAGATTGTCAGTGTACATCTGTATGATCAGCTTATCTCCACTGTTCAGATTTCGATTTCTGTTTTAAAAATTTCAACTGAGCATTTTTTTCAAAAGATTTTTTTTTATTGAACTTTTGTAGAGGAGTGTTAATATGTTATCTTTGGAATCTACGAATATTTATGTAACTCAGATTTGAACTGGTCAGTTGAACAAAAAACCTGGTCACCATATGTGTGTATTGTACCAGATTCGGGCTAAGCCCTGTTTCTATTGTGGTGTGCCCACTATCTGTGTATTACTTGTTATATACTAGTACTCCTCTCAAGATTTCTTCTCTGATGTACACACAGAATTCAAGTGTATATTAATAAACACTGAATTCAAGTGTATTTTGATAAACACAGAATTCAAGTGTATATCAACAAACACAGAATTCAAATGTATTTTAATAAACACTGAATTTAAGTGTATTTTGATGAACACAGAGTTCAAGTGTATATTAATAAACACTGAATTCAAGTGTATTTTGATAAACACAGAATTCAAGAGTATATTAACAAACACAGAATTCAGGTGTATTTTGATAAATACAGAATTCAAGTGTATTTGATAAACACAGAATTCAAGAGTATTTTGATAAAGAAATTCAAGAAATGTCATAAAAATTTATGTGAAAGAAATTTTTTTTTTTTTGAATAGAAATAACAACAATGTCCAGACATATTTCTTGTTTATATATGTTTGAAAGTTTTATTTCCTCACCATTTTTTGATTGCAAAGATTGAACAGAATTTGCATTATTTATAGTATTTTGAAAAGAGAGCTACAAAATGTTGAGGGGTCATTCTAGTTGCAGGAAATTTTTACACTTCTCCATGAAATAATACAGTATTTTTTGTTAAGAGTACATTTTTAGTATATTCATGACTGTAAAAAAAGTTTTATTATATTATAAAAAAAAAAAAAAGTCCTTTTTTTGTGTGGCAATTCTAGTACATGTTTATAATAAGTAAATATACAGTATGATTTCACGTGTACCCCCCATTGATGGTAGCGCTATACCGTGTGTAATGACTAGACTAACATAGAGAAATCTAGAGGGAATGCTTAACTCTATATTTATAGAATGGCTGAATAGTACTAATTTATTCCATGTATTTAACAGCAGTTATATCACGTGACGAGGCTACTGTAAACAATGGTTCAACAGAAAGTTATTTTTGTACATGTTTTATGATCCTTGTGTATTGTAGATCGGATTTCTTAATTTGGTGCTATATTTACAACTGGTTTCCATGGCGGTGTGTGTTGTTATGTAAATTTATTTGTTTTGTGCTTATGATATGGTACTTGCAATTTCATCAGTTTTCAGATATTTATTAACTAAATCTTTTTTCGGAACACAATTACAGTGTATATATATATAAAAAAATAACTTACTTTTTATCTTCAAATTTTGGGGAGGAGGATGGGGGGGGGGACAGGATGAAAAGTATTTATTTAGCTGGTGCACATTCAGAAGGTCTTGGAACTGCATTGTTAGACTTGAAAAGTGTGTTTTATATTTAGACCCTGAATGTCACACTGTTACTTGGCAACAAATACATGACATGAAGTCGAGCACTTTTGGTAGCTTCTTAATTCTCAGGATTCATGTAAAGCACTAGTCAACATACCTGAAGCATTTGCTAACATTACTATTTGTGACCATGTATTATGTGCTTTGGCTCGTGTCATGGATTAGATCAAAGAGTACATTGGTACATGGTACTTTGAATTGTTTGTACAATATGTCTGAGATGTTTAATTGCAATTTGGCAGATAAGAAATTGGTTTTTTTGTCCTGAATCTTGATGGTGTAAGATTATATAACACATGATTGTTGGGTTGAAAACTCACTCAATTTTATGTTTAATATAGAACGTGATGAAAATTAATTTGTATGAATTATCTGACAAAACAAATGAGTCCTTATATATACATGTATATTTGAAGTTTCCAAACCAACTAATGAGATTATTATTTTGTACATGATATTGTTTTTTTTTTCTTGACATTTTTGATAGTTACATTATAAAAGTCCCTTGCAATCAATTCAAAAGTTTTTACAAGACATTTGAAGTTAGTAACTCTAGATATCTTTAGAACAAATTTTAAATGCCATCTGAAGTATTAGTGTCATTAAGTTAAATGAAATAAAGAGATAAATAGTGTTACTAAATATTAAATTCCTGCCTCGTTTCCCTTACTTAATGCAGATTCTGTGAAGTACAATCAAGGTTAATTTAGCATTTGACAGAGTTACCTGTAGTTGTACTTATGGAATGCTTGCTTTTCAAGGTGACATGCTGGACCCTGAATAAGTAGGGAAATGATAATAATGCAGAATCGGTTGATAGCTACAGCCTATATTGTTCATAAAAAGAAATCTGTAATGTTAATTTCAATAATGTTCAATATCTTTACGTAAACTTATTAATTTTTTTTTTTCAAATGATAGGAAAGGAAATTTGACAACTCTTTTGCTTGGTAACTTCACAAATATGGGACATTCCATTTGACTATGATCACTAATTTATCATAAAGTTATTCAAATACTGCTTTGCCTTTTGTTAACTCATTTGATCTGTTTTCTACATTCGGCACATTTTGCAAGGTGTTAAATGAGGGAAGTTGTACCCTGGTACATTCATTAATGATACGCTTTGAAAATGGTGTCATGTTCAGATGACATGTTGGTTCTGAAGTTTGTAGAAAACAGATAAATTATGTAAATATTTAATATTAACAGCGACAATATGATAAAAACTGAATGGTACATGTATGTATATTAAATAGAGTTATTGCCCTTGGACTTTCAGTTGGCTAGATTTAAAAGCTTTCAAAGGAGATGTGAAAGATGTGTTGTCCTGTAACGAGAATGGACATTTTTAAAGCAGATTCTTGCCTTTATCAATTTACAAGACATATCAGTTTATACATAAGTATCTCATTTTAATTGTTTATAAACACACTGACAAGTGTTATTATCATACTGTTAAGATTTTTGTCTGTGGGTCAGTGCCATGGAAATGACCCCTGACCTCAGTCTAAACAAATGGAATGCTCTTGTTGCCTGGGTGACATGTTGGACCCAGGTTGTGTTTATAAATGATCTGCATTTTCTGTGGTTTACATTGATTTTATTTTGGTTATGATGAATGTGTGAGAAAATTGTATGTTTATTTTGTTTGAAGAAATGCATTTCACAGATTTTATATCAAATAATTACGTCTTTCAGTAGGATAGTAGCTAGATTTTACGTATTAATGCTCATGTGGATGAAGATGTTGCTGTGGAAACCATTATTTTTGTGCTAGTATTTCAGACACAAGGATTAAACTGAACGTGTACAAAGAGGATTTTGTTGAGTCTGTTGCTATGGTTATTTGTCACGTGACCAATGGTTGATATTGTGTATGAATCACAATGGTTTTCTGATATTTATCAGTATGTTGTGAGATATAAACTTTATATGAACCTGACTGAATGATTAGATATCATAGCTGTAAAACTACTTAATAAAATGAATTATTAAAGTCTGTTCTTCATTGCTAATGAACAAGTAGTAAAGGCTTTCATGTGGTTAGCAAACTCATGCTTTTAAAGATTTAATTAAGATTATAACTGACACATCACATGTTCTGTATTCTGGTAAATATGGAAATGGCTTAAACTACATGAATGATTGTTGTATATATTCTTCTATGAAAATTGTAAAGGTAAACGATTCCATACTGGCTGAAACAGCGCCCAGAGTCTGTAAGGGGCACAGGCCTCTGACAGAATGGCTGTTGACCCTCGGATTCCCCTTAGGGACATTAACAATCTATCTTATGTACAGTCAACAGATAACCAGTTTTGGTATAAAACCAAACATACCTTTACTAAGTTTAAAGTTTGCAAGGTTTCTATCCAAAGTATCTTTGAAAATTCTTTTCCGGACCCCATTCGTTCCATTTCCAAATTTTCTGCAATTGCAAAAAATGGCAAAACCTGTGATATTTTGATAACAGATACTTCGTTTAGGCATTCTGCGCGCCTTGTTCACCCAACTCTTTTATATTTTGGAAACAAAGGGTTCACTCAAGAAGAGAATGTCAGGCCATAGATTTAAAATAAATAGTTGGGGCCATGAACATCTTTATAACATTTCAATTCGCTGAGGGTTGGGATATATAATCGATCTAATAATCCTACTTGAGTTCTCCATTTCGTAGACAAAGTGAAGAATACTGAATGGATCAGGAAACTAGGCACGTCTTTTTAATATGGTTGCAACGACAACATAAATAATTTAGGGAATTTTTCAATGTTAATGTGATTAAACGTTTTAACAATGCATGTGCAATTTGATTCTCAGAAACTCCAAAGATTTTTTAGAATATTTAAAATCGCCATTTTTTTCGATATATTATATATTAACATCAGAACGTATGACTTCTCTACACTTTATGCAACCAATCCTCACAATATATAAAAAATCTAGGCTTTTTGATATAGACAACTGCTTCCTCAATAAAAATGGAAGTTGGAAATTTTAATATCTTGTGTTTGGTCATCAGCGAAATTACTTTGTTAAAGATTACTCTGATTCTACACAAAAGTACTCTGAAGGTGATACTATAAGGATACAGGAGTTTCTAATTGACAACATTTATGTAGTTCGGAGACGAGGTCTTCCAACAATTTGTTGGAATTTCGATGGGCACTAATTGTGCTCCCTTAATTGCCGACCTGTTTTATATTCCTATATGTGAAGCAAAATTTATTCAAAAATTTCTACACGAGAAGAAGACATTTGCTGTGGCTTTCAACTAGACATTAAGACATATCGACAGTGTATCATTCATGAACAAAAAGTTACTTTCATACATACGTCGATTCCAGATATCCCAGTGAACTTGAAATTAAAGACACCACAGAGTCTGCCGCACTTGTTTCATATGTGGATATTTTACTGACTATAAACGATAAGGGCTGACAATCAAGTAAACTGCATGACAAACGAGATCACGTCAAATTTTCCATCGTCAACATTCCTTATTGCGTGGACCCTGAAGTCCACGCAGAAAATATAGAAGCGAGGTTAAACTGGATGCTATGGGCTTATTTTAGGTTACGCATGCGCGAGAATGCTAGAGAGTTGGACTCTAAGACAACTTGCCTTCAGAACAATTCGCCCTGTTCGAATTAGCATACGCCAATCATTGGCACACCTCGCTTCAAATCTGCACCTCGGATTTATATAATTCATTGGCGTATCCAAGATCCGAATTTACTTTTTTATACATATACCCTTATATGCAAACTAAACATTCAATGGTACAAGCATTTTAAAAAATAGCAAAAACTTAGATAGCTTAACAGCTTGAGTTAAAACATAATTCAGCGACTAGGTTTAAAAAAGATAGAACAGTCTTTCCTGCACTCAGGCTCGTAAGAACCCAATCTCAGACATCGCAAAATAATTTAATACAGCAGTCTAAATATAGCTTGATACAGGCCTGAATCAACGTTTTTCCATGTGGGGGAGGGGATGAAGCCTCCGACAAAAAATCCTGCGTTCTACGGGTCTGTGCTACATGTGTACCATCCATCTTTCCAATGATAGAATCTTCCGTGCAAATCCAAAACAGATATCAAGTCCCAGCCGTTATGGGTTATCGAAAAAACAACATTTTTTTATGACAAAACTATTTAGGCCAAGCGGGGATAGAATTTAACAATTTTGCTATGAATTTAAAGTACTATCTCTCAAAGTAGGCAGATCATTGTAGAAAATGTTAACAAAAGGTTAACCTTCGCACCTTTCAGAGTAACTAATGAACTCATCCATGGATGCATTGATGGTCCTTGTGAAACTTACCTGAGATTCCTACGCTTAGTGCGAACTCTCCGTATTGAAACTGTTGCGGCTGCGGAGCATCACTCATTATGAAAATAATCCGACATATAACACTTAAAATCTTTGAATATAAAGACATTTCCAAAATAAGCTTCTTTCTTGTTTCTAAAAATGTTTTTATTAACAAAAATGATTTAATATTTTGTGTGTGTGTGTTTTTTTTTAAATTGAGTAAATCGATGACCAAGCATCGTTTTAGATAACTCAAGCCCCTCCAGGGCTCGAACACAGGGGCAAATCCAGCAATTTTGAAAAAAGAAGGGTTTTTTTTTCATGTCGATGCCCCCAACACTCATGTATAGAATCACACTAAAAACACTTCAAGCCCGCAGCAACTATTTTCAAAGCGGATAACCTCCAAAAACAGTGGACAAGCAAAAAACAAACAAACGAACCAATAAAAAAGGAGGGGAGTTAAGATACAGTTATTGGTGTTTTAAAGCAGTCCTTACTTACAAAATATATACCACCTTCTTAAACATTGAGAAACACTTCAAGGAATAAATAACACAAATAATTTCCGCCTAAATGGGTTTAACGTACTAACCAAGCAATACAACAGACCAATCGAGTACATATACATGCATGCATAAGGAATGGATGTCTATAAATAGACTGAACCTGAGAATTACCTTCAAATTGTTCTGGTAATGAATTCTTTTATGTGAAAAGTTAAAAAAAAATGACGGACAAATGAGTGCCTATGACGACAGACAAACTTTGATGAGAAAAACACTTTGATCCTTTGGTTCAGGAAAACAAATTTCAAATGTCAAAATCCCTATAGTCATTAACTGTCCAATTCAGCAGAGCCCTAGGGCTTTTTTCCAGGAATGAGTGACACGAATTTTATATATTCCATAGAGACTTTTCTGCTAATTTTCATCACAGAACCAATTGAGTTTTCAATAACAAGCCAAATTCTATCCTTGCGGATAAGCCGTGGGTGTGAAGGGCATGGCATGAACTTTTACAAATTTGAAAGAGAGCTGAGTGTTTTATTATAACCATGCATAAAGTACGCCTGCTAGGTGTCCATTAGTTAAGGTTTTCAAATGAATGATGCATTTTCGATGTATAACGAATTAAGCCCCACTATTCATGGATCAACTCATTATAATCAAGCAACGAGTTTGCATGGTAAATATCGACTAGTAAGCAAATTTTTCTCATACATAATGGAATATGCAATATATGACCAACTCTGTTCAAACCTTGAGTCTGCACCTTGAATCAAGAGGCCATGAATTTTACATGTATGAATGTCACATTCTTTATTATCATCCCAGGTAGCACAAAACATTTTCAAAACATTTTATTGCACTTATAAAAAGGTTTGTTTTTTTTTTTAAAAAACACATCAGAGTAAACATTTTAAAAATTGTTTTAAAAATATTTCTCTTTCCATTTTCCCATTGTAACATTTTAAAAACATTTTAAAATGTTTTCAAAAAGGTTAAAACAGTTCACGGTAGCTCAGTCGGTGATCGGGAGGTCGTGAGTTCGAATCTCGGCCGCGACTGACCTAAGTCGATAAAAAATGAGTAGCAACTGTTCCTTCGCCATGCGCTCGGCATTTTGAAGTGAAAGTTGCGGGTCCTTCAGATGAGATCTTAAAAGCCGAGGGCCCGTGTCACGGCAGGCGTTGGCACGATAAAGATCCCTCACTGCTCAATATGGCCCCGAGTGCCGAGTAAAGGTCAAAATTTGAAGCCCTTCACCGGTATATATGATGACGTCTCTATATGAGTGGAAAATTCTCGAATGGGACGTAAAACAACATACAATCAATCAATTAAAAAGGTTAAAGTTAAATCTTTAAGGAACATTTCTAGAAAATGTTTTTGAAACTTTTTAATAATGACTCCAAAGATATGTCTTGTTTGCATATATTAAACAGTTTCATATTACGTTATAAAAATGTTTTTTAAACATGAAATAAAACATTCCTCTTCTATATCCATGAAACATAGTAATGTTACGTTTCTAAAACATTTCGAAGGAACGTTGTCAAAATGTTTTTAATACATTCTTAATATTGCGTATAGTTTAATACTTAAATGTTTCAGTGTTGGTCGTGAAAATGTTTTCAAAACATTGAACAAAACGTTTTCTCCTCCTACAACTGAAACCTTTTATTTATAATTTATGCAACATTTTAACACATTTATATCATTGTTAATATTATTAAGAAATAAACAACAATGTTAAAAAGTTCTCTTGGAAATGAACTTGGTTAGTCACGTGATCAAATCCTGTAAAGCCCGAAGGGCTTCATAGAAGATCTGATCACGTACCAACCAAGTTCATTTCCCAGTGAACTTTTTAACATTGTTGTTTATTACTTTTATTTACATTTGAGACGAATATTCTGAAAAGAACTGCATTTATTACACGAACGGCCCGCCGTATTGCTATGTTGTGACGCGCAATGATCTAGAAGCTATTTGGTCTTGAGAGTTCGCCTCGCCCCAACATTTGAATACTTACATTGATGTTCAGCAGTCCAGTTCAGGAAATATCTGTTCATATTGAAAAAACTATGATCGCTACTGAGAATAATCTTACTATTATTGTATGAGTTCTTAATAGTCTGTGGTATCGTCTTCAGTTTACATACCTTCAAAGGAATTT